TTAAAAGGAAACAACATAGAATGAATCCGTTTTCGATGAAATATCAACGAAGTGAATCTGGTTAAAAGTGAATCTGATTTAAGTAAATCTGATCACATTGCGGCAAAACGCAATCGCTTGAACAATCACCGTGATTTCGATACGATACCACGTGACAAATCAAATCAAGAGTAGAGCAAACGTTCTCACAAGAGGAAAACAAATATTCTTACGAGCTCGATTTGCTCTTATGATAATGCGGTTGTTCACACCAGTTTCTTTCGGATTACTCGTTTAATTACCAAATTTAATCTAATTCCTAAAGCTCTCCATTTGATCCTTTCATACAATTCATTGATTAACAATTGAAATATGATAAGTTCTATTCATCAGAATCTCGTCCGAACGCAATTTGAACGAAAATTTTGTTTTTCAACGTGTACATTGTATCAGTCATCGCAAGTTGACTACCATTCAAGTTCTGTGGGATATTCTCCACTGAGACACGCTGTGCAATAACCGTTCTCTCGATTACTACTGCCACGAACGGCACGTACTAGACCTTCAATACTCAAATACTGAATTGAATCTGCGCCCAACTGTGCGCAGATTTCATCAACAGTGAAATTGGCTGCCAAAAGCTCTTTTTTTGACGGTATATTGATACCCATAAAACATGGATACTTCAATGGTGGTGAAGCGATTCGAAGATGTACCTGAAATGATGCATCACTTTGGAAGACCACTGAATTCCTCAAAAACTAGCATACATTAGCAGGAGATTATTCTCTATGAAATGAATTGTTCACGATGGCATCATACTTCACTATATTTAGCTCATGTGTCCATTAAACTAAAAGCACTGAGTTTGCGATCAGCACGAAAAATGGACCGACCATTCAACGATATTTTTGTAATTAAGCAAAAATATCGTTCAGACTGAGGCAGAATAAGGCCTGCTCGCGGCGAAACAAGCTTTCTGAATGGCGAAGAGCGCCCTTTCTCTGATGCGCGATCTTCGTTTGGTATTGAATTTTATGCATCAATTGAACAAAGTCAAACCTCTTTTGCACCGTATGCTTTGAGCATGCGAACAATTTTTGCCATCGTATTTCCTCGAACGATCGAGTCATCGACCAATATAATCCTTTTACCGATCACATTCTCGCTGATAACACCGAATTTCTTCAAAACCACTTTTTGTCTTAACTCGGTACTCGGCTGAATGAACGAACGACCCACGTAGCTATTTCGATGCAAAACTTGTTCATATCGTATACCGCTCTAGAATTCATTGCTTTCATATCCTCGTTTGCAGTTCAGTTCATAGAATGCACTGGGAAATTGGGACAAACAAAAGATTCGTTATGCGTAAATGATACAGACTTTGAAGAAGAATGTGAAAGCTCGAGTTCATCAACATTTGAACTGTGAAGTGTTTTGATCTGAATTTGTCACAAAGTATTAGATGAACGTAATGATGAAATATCGCTACCTGTTTTGCGAAACCAATTGAGGCGG